TTTGATCCCCAGTTGGGGCACAAAAGCATTGAATGCGTGTCCTCCTCCGGGCACCACGGCTGGAGGCACTGCGGCCAGGGTTCAGGTGTTGGCGGTGTTAACACTGACTGCCCGGTTAAGGGGGTGTATCAGTTACCCAGTGCTGTGTAACCCAGGGCCCTGAAGCAGTGATTTGAAATAATGACCCTTTGTTTGCTCACAATTCTTTGGGTGGGCAGTCCTGGCCGGGCTCCGCGGGGCAGCTGGTTCTCCGGGTCTCCGGTCGCCAGTGGCATCTCTCAAACGGCGGCAGCCAGCAGGGGCCCGGCGGTCTCTGAGGGACCTTAGCTGACCTGGTTCGTCTTCATCCAAAGACTGACCCAGGCTTCCTCCAACAGCTAAGCCAGCCTTCTTCCCATGGGGGCCGCAGGCCGGTCAGCAAGTGAGAGCAAGCCCCAGGGAGAACATGCTTTCAACCTTCTGCTTGCCTCATTTGCTGCTGTTCCATTAGCACAGCAAGCCACAGAGCCCAGTCCGGAGTCGCCATGGAGGGCAACGCAGAAGCACATGGGTGCACGGGGCTGTGCTGCAGCCGTCTGTGAAATAGGATGAATTCAAATTCTAAGCAAGGTTACAGGCAGAACTTCCTTTTTTATTAAAGAGCCAGTCCTATTTGCACTTAGTGGTTATCTCGATGCTGGCCTTGAAAAACAATGCTGTTCTATCCAATTAAAAAAAAAAAAGTGCACCTGGCATGGTATTGAGATTGTGGGCATATCTGGTCTCTGGCCTGCAAGGTCCGACAGCTAAGTTTATCTTCATCATTCTTCAAACGGGCAAAAGCAAACTAGAAAGCAACATTTTATCTAGGAAGAACAGCAGAAAATTTCAAACAACATCAGCCACCGGTGGACTTAGTTTGAACCCAGGGTTCGACCCCACAGCCGTCTGCCTCTGGAGGTGTTTACCAGGTTTGCCCTGTGATTAATAAGTGACTTGTGTGGAGATAATTTGAAGATAATTTGTAAATATCCTGTTCCTCATCAATCTTTATCACCATAGTGATACTGTTGATGACTCTTGCGTAATGATTGCCAAATTTTTCTTTTCTAACTAGAGGCCCAGAGCACAAAATTTGTGCATGGGGGGGGGGGTCCCTCAGCCCAGCCTGCACTCTCACAATCTGGAACCCTGCAGGATTGGGCCTACACCGACAGTTGACATCCCTTTCGCAATCCGCTGGCTCCTAACTGTTTGCCTGCCTGCCTGCCTGGTGGCCCCCAACCACCTCTGCTTCGGCCCCACCCACCATGGCTGCTGCCTCTGCCTCACCCCTCCACCAAGGCTTCCTGGGGAAAAACATCAGGAGGTCATTCGGCTGTCCGGTCTAGTTAGCATATTACGCTTTTATTATTATAGATTCAGTCATTCATTCTACATTTATTGGTGGTGTACAATTAATATGGACTCATGGCTGTTATTCGGTAATTTATACTCCACCATTTTTATTCATCTGGATGTTCAAATGTTCTGCGATCGAGCCTATGAAAGCCCCTTTGAAGCGGCTGCCTCTGGAGATGTTCACGGACTTTTTGGAGCATTTCCTTGTTCTCTGGCACAGCGTGTTCCGGGCTCATTCAGGGAAGGGGTCCCCTTTCCTGGCTCCTTGAAAACCATCTATTTCTCCAAAGAGCCTGGTTCTTTCATTGGGGAACGGCATTTGGAAAGCAAGAACAGCCCACCAGGTGTGTTTATTGTTACACAGATCGGTCTTAGCCTCCAGGAAATACATATATTCCCTACACATGTCTAGATCTTTTCTTTTTTCTTTTTTTTTTTAAATAAGTTTTTATTGTTCATATTATTACAAATGTTCCTTCCCCCACCCCCCACCATTGCTCTCCTCCACCAGGTTCCCACCCCACCCTCTGCCCTTTCCCCCCTCCCCATTGTCCTCATCCATAGGTGCACAGTTTATGTTCAGTCTCTTCCCACGCCCCCCTCTCCCCTTTTCCCCAAGAATTGTCAATTCACTCCCCTTCCATACCTCTGATTCTATTATATTCAACAGTTACTATTGTTCATCAGATTTTTTTTAAATTTCCTTGGTTTTTAGATTCACTTGTTGATAGTTACATATTTGTTGTTCATAATTTTTATCTTTGTTTACTTTCTCTTCTGAAAGAACCCCCTTCAGCAGTTCATATAATTCTGGTTTGGTGTTGATGAACTCCTTTAGCTTTTTTTTATTAGTGAAGCTCTTTATTTGACCCTGGATTCTGAGTGATAGCTTTGCTGGATAGATTATCTTTGTCTGTAGGTTCTTACTATTCATCATCTTGAATATTTCTTGCCATTCCTGTCTGGCCTGCATGGTTTCTGTTGAGAAATCAGCTGACAATCGTATAGGTGCTCCTTTATAGGTAACTACCTGCTTTGCTCTTGCTGCTTTTAATATTCTCTCTTTGTCTTTTGCTCTTGGAATTTTAATTATGATGTGTCTTGGGGTGGTCCTCTTTGGATTCCTTTTGTTTGGAGTTCTGTGTGCTTCCTGGACTTGTAAGTCTAATTCTTTCACCAGGTGGGGGAAGTTTTCTGTCACTATTTCTTTCAGTATGTTTTCGATATCTTGCTCTCTCTCATCTTCTGGGACCCCCATAATTCTGATGTTGGTTTGCTTGAAGTTGTCCCAGAGGTTTCTTACATTATCTTCAATTTTCTGGATTCTCTTGCCTTCTAGCTTCTGTGGAAGAGTGTCCTCTGGCTCTTTATGTTCCAAATCTTTGACTTGATTCTTGCGATCTTCCCTTCTGTTTTTAGGAATTTGTAAAATATTTTTTATTTCAGACAATGTATTTTTTATTTCTTGTTGATCCCTTATCATTTCTTGATGACTCCTTATTAATTCTAGTTGATCCCTTTTCATATCCTCATAGGTCTTATCCATCTTTTCTAGGAAATTCTTGAAAAACCTTATAGGTGTAGATTTGAACTCTATATCCAGACGCTTTTTGTCCTCCATTTCTTTCGTTTGTGATCTATTTTATTGTCTCATTTCGCAGTTACAGATGGGACAGGGTTTCAGGGTGGAGCCTGCAGCTTTGGCTTCCGTCAGCCCCGCCCTATGCGGGTCCTTCAGTGCTCGCTGCCGGCGCCTCTGAGAGAAAGGTGCCCTCGATTTTCGCCTGCTGCCAAACAGTCTATGCTCTCCCACAATGAGCCCGGTATTGGGGTTCAGTTCAGTTGGAAGTGGAGTTGGAGGTGGCGTTCAGAGCAGCCTGGAGCCCCAGTCTCCTTCCCGTCAGGGCAATCCCGCGGCACAGCCCACCGTCTTTTCTCTGTGCGCAGTGTGCGCACCGCCGGGACCTCCTTTCGCCACTTCCCTGGGGTTCCGCCTTACAGCCGGCTCCCTATGGCTGAGCCTGAGTCCCCGGGGTCTCGCCTAAAACGGGTTCAGAGCAGTCGGGGGCCCAGCACAGTCGGAGTTTTATCTCCTTTCCGCTAGGGAACGCCCGCCAGGCACTCGGCCTCCCTCCTCTCTGGCTCCTTCCTCTCCACGCTGCGTCCCTGTCTAGATCTTTTAAAAAGAATGAGGCCCTAGCCGGTTTGGCTCAGTGGGTAGAACCTTGGCCTACGGACTGAAGGGTCCCTGCTTCATTCCAGTCAAGAGCATGTACCTCCATCCAGGCTTCCAGCCCTGGACCCCTGGCCAGGGGCCTGCCGGAGGCAACCAGCCATGTGTCTCTCTCATATCAGTGTTTCTGTCTCTCCTGCTGGAAACTGATCATTGTCAACAACCTTCATTGCTCTGGAAGGTCAGGACTAGTTCACTCACTGCTCAGTTGATACATGGTTAGCTGAAGCAGACTCCACCTCTGTTTTATGTAAATTTCTGTTCATGGAGTGTCCTGCCCAAGGGCTCTGGGTGTATCCCACAGTCTCAATAAAAGGGATAGCAAGGCCAGAGCAGCAAGTACTCTTCCCACTGGAGGTGGGCTCCCTCCTGGCCCCCAATATTCCCAAATGGGTACTTTTCTAGTCCTTTCATTTGTGTGTGGCCTTCTCCAGAACCCGAACCCTGAACTGGAACCCTGAGCCATGCAGGACGTGAGAGGGGTTCCACACTCTCCCCTCTGTCTCCCTCCCCCTCTTTCTAAACATCAGATGAGAAAATATCCTTGGGTGAGGATTAAAATAAGGTTAATAATAATGAGCCCCTACTGGTATCTTCAATTCCAGTTTCCCACTTAACCCCACACCCTTCCTCCTTGCCCTCCCACCCACACTGGACTCCCAGCACCCCTGTCCTCACTGACTCCTGCAGTTCACAGGGCATCTGACAGACTTGTTATCCTCGCAAAGCTGTGAGAAACGAACCTACTGCAGTATTGCTTGTCAGTTCTTTTCCTTAGACTTGGAGATGCTTGTAAGTTAATATACTGGACTGAAAACTCATTTTGGTTGTCTCTGTGTGTGTGTGTGTGTGTGCTTCTCTTCTATTTTCACATTTTTCCTAGACACAGGGAGCATATTTCATATATTTACGCATTTATTTATTTATTTTCAATGAATCATACCCAGAAATAGCAGCAAACCGGCCCTAACCTGCTCCAGGCCACAAGGCAGCCAAAGACAAAGGAAACAACCTGACTCCCAAACGGTGATCTCCCGCTGGGGAAAATTTTAGAAAAAGGACGGTGAGAAAATGGAGCCCGAAAATCTAACTTTAAACTACAAACTAATGTTTATTTCAACAAGAAACCTCAGAGCAGATCTCCCCCGAGTTTTTTCCCCTGGAGTCGCGCAGGGCCCATGTCAGAACGCACAGAGAGGGCGCCCGGAAGAGCAGGCCGGGGGCGTGGCGTATGCAGATGAGCAGCAGCGCAGGGGCTGCCGGGCCCACGCGGCCTGCGCCCCCACGTCCCCGCACCCGGAGATGGCAGCGCCCCCGGGGTTGCTGTGGTGACTGGCGCGGTGGGCGCTCGGGGCCTGGGGCGGAGGGGGCGCAGGGACGTGCGGAGCGGAGTGACCGTGTGTGAAGAGTGGGTGGTGGCTGTGGGTGAGGGAGGAGGCGGGGTGTGCAACTCATACTTACCTGGCAGGGGAGACACCATGATCACGAAGGTGGTTTTCCCAGGGCGAGGCTCATCCATTGCACTCCGGCTGTGCTGACCCCTGCGATTTCCCCAAATGTGGGAAACTCGACTGCATAATTTGTGGTAGTGGGGGACTGCGTTCGCGCTCTCCCCTGGGCTTCTTGTTACAAAAGTCAGACGTCAAAACCACTCTTAACTTATGCTGGTCTGTTTACCTGTGTTTTTCCCACAGGTTAACTTTTTCGCCTGTCCTTTTCCTGTGTTGCACGTGGCTTTTTGCAGCTTCTCAGGAGTCCTTTCTAGGCCCTTTTAAGAATCACTTAACGCAGTGCAGTTAAGCCAAGTATCGAACCAGCAACCTAAGGATGTCCGCGCAGACGCCAGCCTACAGTCCTCCGCTCTACCAGCTGAGCTATCGAAGGGCGCGCCTCCAAGCGCCCCTCATTACTTTTCCTTGAGGTGACGAGGCCCGGGCACCGGAGCGCCCGGCCTAACCTGCCCGCGCTGGGCCCGAAGCAAACGCTCCCTCTGCCCTCTCCCCTTTCCCGGGGAGGAGGGCGGCGCCACTGCAGTGGATGCCTGCCAGCAAAACGGCTGGCCTGACTTGCCTTCACTCCCTCCGGCCCCTCTGAGACGCCCAAATCCCTCTGCACAGAGCGCCGCTTTCCCCGCTCTGCCGGCAGCTGCTGATAAAATCTGCTGCAGCGCTTCCCCTGCTGTCCCTGCGCTCCTCTGCGACCGGCTCCAACTCAGAGAGGACACGAGGGCATTCCTCCCCCCCCCCCCCCCATTTTTTCCCTTGTCTATTCGAACTCATCTTCAAGTCACCCATCCTTTCTTGCAGGTTGGTAAGTGCTAAGGTGCTAAATAAGAAATGGTGGTAATGTGCATTCATGGGTGGTTTGAGTCTGAGTGACACACTGTGCTGCATTCAGAATAGGTGGTAGCCGAACCTCGCAACGCTGCACGAAAGCCCTACGTTTTGTAGACAGAAAGCAGGTTTAACGCGCTCAGCCGGAGCGGCCAGGCTGGGGGTCTCCCTTGCAGCCCGGCCAGGGGCCAGGGGCCAGGGTCGTGCGCCCTCTGCCGTCTCCGCTCGTGCTGCTCCCGCACGCACACGGGGGCCCCCAAATGCCCTCGGGTCCTCTCTGAGTTGGAGCCGGTCGCAGAGGAGCGCGGGGACAGCAGGGGAAGCGCTGCAGCAGATTTTATCAGCAGCTGCTGGCAGAGCGGGGAAAGCGGCGCTCTGTGCAGAGGGATTTGGGCGTCTCAGAGGGGCCGGAGGGTCTCTGTAGTCGGCGGAGAAGAGGAAAACCACAAAGGGTGGGTATGAGTGAAGGCAAGTCAGGCCAGCCGGTTTGCTGGCAGGCATCCACTGCAGTGGGGCCGCCCTCCTCCCCGCGAAAAGTGAGAGAGGAGGGGGGAGAGGGGAGAGGGAACGCGGGCGGCGCGCCCGGATTCTGCTCAGGGGCTTCGGGACCAGCGCGGGCAGGGCACCGGCCTCCTGACCTCAAGTAAAAGTAACGAGGGGCCCTGGAGGCGCGCCCTTCGATAGCTCAGCTGATAGAGTGGAGGACTGTAGGCTGGCGTCTGCGCGGACATCTTAAGTCGCTGGTGCGATTCCGGCTCAAAGGAGGTGCTTAGTGCTTTTTACGGGCCTGGAAAGGACTCTCGAGAAGCTGCAAAAAGCCACATAAAACAGAAAAAGATGAAAAAGTTAAACTGTGGGAGAAAACACAAGTAAAAAGACACATGGTAAGAGTGGTCTTGACGCCTGACTTTTGTAACAAGAAGCCCAGGGGAGAGCGCGAACGCAGTCCCCCACTACCACAAATTATGCAGTCGAGTTTCCCACATTTGGGGAAATCGCAGGGGTCAGCACAGCCGGAGTGCAATGGATGAGCCTCGCCCTGGGAAAACCACCTTCGTGATCATGGTGTCTCCCCTGCCAGGTAAGTATGAGTTGCACACCCCGCCTCCTCCCTCACCCACAGCCACCACTCACCCTTCACACACGGTCACTCCGCTCCGCACGCCCCTGCGCCCCCTCCGCCTCAGGCCCCGAGCGCCCACCGCGCCCGTCGCCACAACAACCCCCGGGCCCTGCCATCTCCGGGTGCGGGGACGTGGGGGCGCAGGCCGCGTGGGCCCGGCAGCCCCTGCGCTGCTGCTCATCTGCATACGCCACGCCCCCGGCCTGACAGCCCGGCGCCGGGTCTCCGGGGTCCGATCCGGGCCCTGCGCGCTGCTGGTCGCGAGGGGACGGGGACCAACCCGGGAGGGGGCCCGGGGCTCGCCGCCCCCGCCGCCCCGCAGCTGTCACGGCGCCTCCCAACCCCCGAGGGTGCGGGCCGGGCCGGGCTCGCTCTCCCTTCCGTCCCCGGAAACCACACGCACCCGTGTCCGTTCCCCTCGGGGCCCAGAAGCGGCGCCCTCCCGTGGCCGCTCGGCTCAGACGGAGGCCCCGTCGGGCCGCGGGGCCGGGACCGGGGGCGGGAGAGCGGCCGCGGTCCGTCCGGGGGGGACACGCGGGCCGGGGCGGGAGGGGGCGCGTCTGGGAAACGGACGGACAGAAACGGCCCCTCGGCCCGGGGTTCGGGGCTTGCAGGCCGCCGGCTTCTCCCTCCGGACCAGCGGGCCCCTCCTGAGGGCCGGAGGGGAAGGGCCGCCCCCAGAGGGGAGCACGGAGCCCGGGCCGCGGGCGCCCTGAGGTGCCGGAGCCCGGGGCAAAGCCAGGCAGGAGGCGCCGAGGGGACAGGGGAGGGCGGTCCCGCTGGACAAGATGGAAAGAAACCACTGCAGATGCTGTTTGTTTGGTTGTTTCAGGAAGTTTCCTTCCTCCGGGTGTATTTCCTGGAAACAAAGGGACCTGTTACCTAAACCCCAACAGGATGATCAAAATCGATAAATGAACCTGGTATGATATTTTTCTCATTTACTCTGCAGACATTTTTCCGTTTTCATCCATTGTCCCTACAACGCCCTTTATAGCAAAGGAACACTCAAAAACCTCAAATTCCATTCGAGGTCCTGGCTCTAGAACCTACTTTAACCTGAAACAGGGCCCAGGCAGTTCTTTGTAGGCATTTTCTGAGACTAGACGCCAGTTATTCTGTAGGAAAGCCACCTGGGGTTGTCCCGTTTCCTCACAATCACGTTCAAGTGCCCATCAGAAACAAAGACTACGTCGTAGGTGATGTTGTAACTGTTGAGGGCTGGCTTGGGTCCCTCCGGAGACATGGTTTGAAGTCCTGGCCCTGGTACTGTTATGCCCAAGTGTCATAAACCCCAAAGACTACCAGGGAGCCGAATCCGATGCAATTGCAGAAGGCCTGTATTTATTTCAGACTAGTCGGGGCTCAGTCCCACTTACACCAGTGAGGGCATGGCGAGAAAGAGAAAGAACTTAACATATTATACCAATGGGTTTTATAGGGAGGGTGGTGCCGCTACCTTGGCTGACCTGATTGGTTGGGTTAGGCCTAGGGTCCAGTTACCTGGAGCTGTACCCGCCCCGCCCTGCCCTCTCATTCCCCCCTTGTCTTAAGACTTAACAGGCCCAATCATGGATGGGACCGTTTGCACTTCTGAAGGGAGCATAAAGTTCCTCCTTCCCGGTGCCCTGATCTGACATTTTGGGGGAGTCCACGAGATGTGTCCAGTGGAGACACAAGACCACACAGCGGGGTCAGGAGTGTCCAGGGCAGAAGTGAGTCTTTCCTCCCGAACCAGTGTATGGGGTGTGGGAGCTCCTGCAGCCGGAGCGGCCGCAAACAAAATTTTCCAGTATCGGGCAGGTTCAGTGCGCCGTAACTTGAGCTTGAGGGGGTTGTCTCAGTCTCGGTCGGATCGCAGAGGAGTCAGCTGGCCGAACATGGGTGTGGTGGACCCAGGTCGCAATGCTGTCCACTTTGAGGGCGGTGGGCGTCGTCAGCACCATGATGTATGGTCCTTTCCAACGTGGTTCAAGCGTCTCCCGGCGGTGTCTTTTGACAAAGACCCAGTCTCCCGGCCGGCTGGTACTGGTGGGGCGTCGGGATCAGGCCAGCCTCGTAGATGGCCTGTAGGCGTGGCCAAATGTCCTCATGCGCCCTCTGGAGCCTTCTTAAAGAAAAAGATATTTCTTGGTTTTCAAATTCAGTTAGCAGTTCTGCCTTAAGATTGGGAATGATAGGCGGGGGCCTACCAAACATAATTTCATAGGGAGTGAAGCCAAGGGTATAGGGTGAGTTCCTCTCCCAGTAAAGAGCATAGGGAAGGAGAGCCACCCAGTCCCCGCCAGTCTCCATGGTTAGTTTAGAAAGGGTCTCTTTTAATGTTCTATTCATTCTTTCTACCTGTCCTGAGCTCTGGGGACTATACGCACAATGTAATTTCCAATTTGCCCCTATGGCCTTGGCTACTGCCTGTGTTACCTGTGAGATGAAAGCTGGGCCGTTGTTCGATCCTATCACAGCTGGGAAACCGTACCTGGGTAGAATGTCCTCCAGTAGCTTCTTAGCAACCATCTGGGCTGTTTCATGCTTAGTTGGGTATGCTTCTACCCAACCAGAAAAGGTGTCTACAAAAACTAGAAGATATTTATAGCCATACTTTCCCGACCTTACCTCAGTGAAGTCAATCTCCCAGTGCACCCCAGGCTTTGTTCCTCTGAGCCAGGTTCCTTTTCCACTTGACCCGGCCCTTGCATTTGTAAGCTGGCAAGTTTTACAGGCTGATACAATTTGATCTATTCTGGCGTCCAGCTGGTGAATTTTGATCTTAGCATGCCGGACCAAATCCTTTAGTTTCCGGGACCCTAGGTGCGTCGATTGGTGTATGTGTTTCAACATCGGGATCCCAAGCTGGTCTGGTAGCAGGAGCTTCCCGTCTGGAGCATACTACCAGCCTCTGACTTCCTTGTTCGTGGGGTGGCTTTTGATTCGCTCTAATTCTTCCTGGTAGTATCCGGGCTGATCCGGCAGAACTGGGTTCCCTGGGTCTGGCAATTGCAGGGCCAGTGCAGGGACTGCAGTGAGGGCTACTTCTTTGGCCACCTGATCAGCCTTCTGGTTGCCCCTGGCTACAGGATTGTTGTTGGCTTTCTGGTGTCCTGGGCAGTGGATGATGGCTAACTTGGCTGGGAGCCATAAGGCAGCTAGCAAGTCGAGTATTTCTTGTTTATTTTTTATAGTCTTTCCTTCTGCAGTCAACAGCCCTCTCTCCTGATAGATTGCCCCATGGATGTGAGCTGTGGCAAACGCATAGCGCTATCTGTAAAGACACTGAGTCGTTTCCCGGCCTCTAGTGTCAATGCCTTTGTCAGAGCGATGAGTTCTGCCCGCTGGGCTGACGTTCCAGACGGCAGAGCCTCTGCCCATAAGGTGTCAGTCTCAGTTACTACTGCCGCACCTGTGTACCTGTGCCCGTTTCTCATGAAGCTGCTCCCACCGGTGAACCATGTGGCCTCTGCATCTGAGAGGGGCTGGTTCGTCAGGTCCTTCCGGAGTCCATGCACCTGTTCCAAAATCTCGGCGCAGTCATGTAGCAGGCATCTAGGTCAGGGTCAGGCAGGAGAATTGCGGGGTTGAGGGCTGCACTGGGGCGGAACCGCACTCTGGGAGGATTTAGGAGGAGGCACTGGTAGTGAGTCATGCGCGCATTACTCATCCATCTATCAGGTGGCTGTTTTAGAACTCCCTCAACCGCATGGGGGGTTGTAATCCAGATTTCTTGCCCTAGAGTTAGCTTGTCAGCATCCTTCACTAGGAGAGCTGTTGCTGC